AAAGCCACACACCACCAGGAAGGAAAAGGAACATTCACTAGATACCTGGCGGCTAGGACCCTGTTCGACCTGTTAAACCCCTGTATCCGAATGTCTACCCAAGACATGTTGCCAGAAACCGCTGCGAGAGCAGCATATAGTACTTCCGAACGTCATGAGCATGATGGAAGACCGCAGACTGGCTGGACTTTATGACACTGCGGACAGCATGAGACACACAAGCCCTGGAACAGGTAACCAGGGAAAATCGAAACCACCCAAAGAGCGCGAACCATCACATAACCTGCAGGTAGAGATGGTGGAAACCTCCCGCCATTCAAGCATGCAGGTACAATAAAAGCCACCCCAATCTCCAAGAGAGAAAAAGGAGCAGTCTGCCAGACAGGAAGACTTCCAGAACCTCCAGAATAATGCACCCAATACGGGGAAGAAGAACTGAACTCAACAGAGCTGGATCCATCACAGAGGCGTAAACCAGGTCTCACAAGAGGTACGTACAAAGGGCCTCCCAAACTTTCCCAGGGAAAATCAGAGAGGAAGGAAACCTCCAGAAGGACAAATCCAAGGATCCCAAAGGCACCCGGAAACAAACCCAAGGGAAAGTCGCACCCAACTAATTCATAAAGGGAAGGACGGGATGAGAACCCCCTCCCTTGCAGCAACAATCCCTGCCCAAAAGGCACAAGGGCCCAAGCAGGATCAAAAGGTGCCCAAGCGCTCCAAGCGGAGTCCCTTTGACACAGGTCCCAAAGCAGAGCCCTCTTCCATGCCCATCACCCCCTGAAGAAAAGGCAGTCCTTGGAAAACCTTCTGATAAGGGAGTCGGCTGGTTCAACCCAGAAGCCTCAGTGGGAAAATCAGGCTCAACCACCTCCATGCCCGAATCGGAAAGGGAAGCCTCTGAAGCCTTCCGAACTAAACCCTGCTCCAACTCAAACCCTCCGACGTTTGGCAGCTGGAAGCAGGGGGGAGGAGCAGAGCGAACCACACACACCTGAGAAGGAAGCAGAGGCGCAGACGGAACCATGGTCGAAGCGAATAACACCCCCAAATCCTGATCCCTAAAACCCAAGTGGGGCAGTTCCAGGGCCTCCAATCGGGCAACCAACCTGGCACGTTGCAAAAAGGAGAATCGAGCATGCAATACAGCCGCCGCCTGATTCCTGAGAGCAACAGACAAGGAATGAGTAAATTGAAGCACAAACAGTGAACAAGTCCTGCAAGACTCCTGGTCGTAGGTGTCACTGACTGAACAGACAGCATTGACAGAGGCAGTATGGATGAGCGACACCCTGAGGCAGGGGTGACGCATAACCTACTTCGCACAAGGCAAGAGTGGACTATGAAGACGTATCCATAGTACCGCCAAGCCCACAGGGGTTTTCCAGGGCTTGTAGGATAAATTAGCCCTACGGGAAGCCCAGGCACTGAGGCCAGCTAAGCTAGTAGAATCCTTGTCTAGTAGCAGGTCAACTGACTACCAGCAGCAGCCATAAATCCTTGGGCCAACAGAGGAGGACCACCAACACCACCTAGGCTTGCCTAATAAGAGGCTAGGGAGACCACCTCTGTTCACAAAAGGCAAAAATACAAGAAAAGGAAACTAAAAGCCTCCCAAGAAACACAATAAGCAAACTAGCAGCCAGAGAGAAGCATCGCATTGTAGTAAGGCAGGCTGCGCCAGCCACAGTGCGACCACACCCAGCCATAGCACTCCTCCACTTGGAGCAAGACAGAATGACTAAGACCCCCGACATACCCAATGGGCATAGACAACGTCAAACAATGAAGTCCTCTAGCGGGGAGTGATTTCCGAACGCCCCAGGGAAGATAATCCTGAAACGCAAGGGTAGTACTTATGGAGCACATAGGGAAGATCACCCTAGGCGCATGCAGCTCCATGTACATGAAGACACCTGGCCAACACCCACACACACTGCTTGTACAGCCACACAGGGCAAAATCCAGAACAGGAACTTGAGGCCAGAGGTGACCGAACTACCTGCCAGCACATCTGTTCAATGCAAACAGGTAACAGGGGAGGGTGGGGGAGGGGGAGGGGGGGGTAACAAAATAAGCAGAACTGCTAGTCACATGAAGGGTTGCTTGTTTGATTTCTTTCTAGGAGAGTTATTTTTATCTTTTGGGATGTAGATTGCACAGGTTAACCAGACAGTGGTCTATTTTGATTCGCCTACCTTTCTGGGTCCTTCCCCGGTTGATGGCAATTATGACATATAAGGTACTTTAAATATAAAGTGCTCATAGACCATTGCTCCCTGTGCCTCTCTGAGGGGAGCCAGGTTCTGGCTTGTGGTTACTGGTAGGCATAAGGACTTCTGTGACTGATGACCTCAAACTAATATAGCACACATCAGTTAGGATAGCTTCAGAAAGCTGATCGGACTTCCCACAGAAAAGGCAACTCTCCCGCCCACAATATCGATACAGTATTTTAGCAGATATGTACAAGCTTCAGCATCCCCCAACAGGTTAGGAAATTTTACCCACTCACTTTTAGAATATCTATGGAGAAAAAAATGACTGCTAAGGCTACTAAATTATATTTTAAAGCTATCAACTTGACAAGAGACTCAATTAGAGCAGTTATCACATTAGAATTTTGCTTTCCAGCTTATGTGAGTGTTTGAAGGTAATTTCCACATTACAGACAGAAATTTTACAAACTTGATTTTGTTGTGGCAGTGTTGATGACAGATGTAAAGAGATGAAGAGTGAAATACTCAGAAACTGTCAATTTTGTCAACTGTAGTATTTTGGCTTCACAGTTATGTAAGTGATAAGCAATCAAGTTCCCATGCAAAATTAAAAATGTAAGAGAATATAGTTGCAACTATAGTTGCATTATTCTACTTAACACTTTCGCTGGCCCGGCGAGGCACTCGTATCACACTGGAAGGTAGGCTGAGCATTCCCGGTGAGCACACAACCCAATGTTAAACTCATTCACCCACAATGTTTATACTTAATAATAAGACACTGCAAAAAATTTTGCATGATGCAATTTGCATCATCCCACATACTCCGTATTTTGGTTCTATGATGGAATATGCGGTATTAGGCAGCGAAGGTGTTAATTGTTTTGAATTTCAACAAGTTCCTCTCTTATCTTATGCATGCCTTTTCCAACTGTTAACAAAACCCAGCAGCATGATATGCTCAAATTCTGTTAAACCAACAGACAATCAACATTGATTTAATGTTAAATCAACATTGTCTGGATTTGACCGAGAGGTGACAAATATGGACTCCTTTAATTTTCAACTCGACCTCACATATATATTAAAGCAACAAAATCTTTACAACAGGTATGGATATCACTGATGCTATCAAGGTGAAGCTTAATAAAATATACGTATTAGGATGATGGTTTGCTTTAGAGAATTATAAAATGGGAAAGTGAGGCATAGCTGCAACAGTGTCTCGATGACTTATAGAAAGTTAATTAAAATATTTACTTGGGTTAATATGGTTAAAGTAAAAATATTGTATACCTTTCAATTAGATACTGAAAACACAAACTTGCAATATTTGGCATGCTGGTATATAGGAATTGCAAATATGTATCAAGACCGTTAAATAGGTGGAATACCAAAGGATAAGGCTCTCTAAATTGTTTATATATTTTCACAATTTTCTTTTATGGAAGCCATGATGGTAATGCTACAGGATACTGTGATTTTGTTTTAATTATCAGGGGAAAGCGCCAAGCCATTACGACTGTATAGCACTTGAAAGGGGTCAGGATAAGGATTTGGGATGGGACGGGGGCAAGGAACGGTGCCTAACCACTTGGACGGTCGGGGATTGAATGCCGACCTGCACGAAGCGAGACCGTCGCTCTACCGTCCAGTCAAAGTCAAAGGACACGCAAACACTTCAGGTAATGAGGTCATAGTTAAGAGTCGAGTGCAAAAGTAGATGCGTCACAACAGCACAGCATGTAATACACAGTTACAACTGCAATTAATAGCATTTTCTTAGAGGATGCCACCCCACTCAGCCATGGAACACGACACACACCATGAGGGGTAGACTCTCTAATTAATCATTCCCAATCATCCTCCCGGGTATGCATAAACCCAAATGTCTTACACATTTTATTCCTGATGTGCCAAGCAGGTGCTCATTAACACTATTAGATTGTGTACTCAACATGAAAATGGTCATTAATTGCTACACACTTTTCTACCACTTGCGACTAGTAAATTAATTTTCAGAGAAGAGTCCAATTATGCAATATGATGATACCAATTACCAAAATTACTAGGAGTTTAAATGTTGCTAAAAATAGTTTCTATCCAATGAAGAAATACTGTACCTCAGATAATGTGACAATTTGATCAATGCTCAAAAATGGTTTTTATACCTGAACTGTGTTCAAGATATTAAAGGCTCAAAATTCTGTACACATTAATCATTTCTTATAAATTTGCCAAAATCCATAGTGTCTACCTGTATGATAAGGCATGCACATGTTTCTCTGCAATGGTAGAATCTTATTGCATTGGTTTAAAATTAAGGTTAATGACAAAGAAATTAATTTTTATAACTGTTCTGAGATTAATGCATAATTGTTTAAGTTTCTTGTACATAGCAGTTAATTATTAAAAATTAATTACTGTAATGATTAACCCATAAATATTTTTGTTTATCTTATAGACAAAATATTATGCTATATAATTTATCTTCTTTTAATAGACGTTTACCTTTCTGTACAGACACGGAAATTTTCTTTATTTGATGCTGGCAGAAAAATTTATCAGATTTTTAGCAATGTTTTTGTTGTCATATTAAGAAATTTTGAGACAAAAAATCTCTTTTTGCTCAACGCACGAAAGTATGCAGGAGAAAATCTAATGTTGCATTACCATAATAATAATCCCTGGCTACATAGTCTACTATAGTGTTCGTGGCCAACAAGTGCATATTGCCTACTAACACTAGTTATCTTGCAATCACAATGATATAAGAATCACCTCTTTGCTCGAGTCATTAGTGGTCTGTTCAATTGTCTTGATCTTTTTACTGGCCTGAGATAGTTCCTCCTGAAGCTTATCCATCTCCTTGTGCACAGTGTCACGTTCACTCATAACCAGTGTGTATTCCTGCATGGCAGCATTCCTCTCCTCCTGTGGGGTACAAGAGGCTCTCTTACTTCATACACACTTTCAACACATCAATTATTATACTTTGCTCTACCACCCTATTCTATTCCATTAAACACCTTTCCTACCACACTAATATATCCACAGACTTATATATTGACTTATAGGATGGAAATTTGAGAAACAAGATACTTTGAGGAAAACAAATAAAAAATTAACAATTAAATAAATGAGCTTATAAAATCACCACTTTTTTAAATGATTAGGGAGCTTAGTCATTTTCATAATTATTCTCTTTCTCACTTTCTAGAGATGGGCAAACACATGCCAAGAAAATGAAAAATAAAAATGGAGAGATGTGAAGTTTAGCAATGATAATAACTCGCCCTATGTAAGTAAATATTATAACCGACACAAAATTCCTTACCTGTAATCTTTTTAAATCCTTATTAAGATGTTGTCTCTGAATCAGGTGTGTGTTCATCTCCTTCATCATCTCATCATACTTCTCTCGAATCTAAGAAAAATAATTTTTTTTTAAATAGTATTATACCATAGTTCACTTTCAAACATGCATTCTTAGTATTATTAATATACAAATGCAGAAACAAATAAAATAATTAACGCCTTACAAAATAAAAATGTATTTGCTGAGAGATCTTGACAACCTTTTACTAGGTGGAGAGGTTGTATAAAACATAGAAACACTGTGCTTGCCTATACTTATACATCAATGACTATTGGGGAATGAGATCTAGTTCTTTATGCCCCACCTCCTAATCAATTATACCTGATGGGCTAATTACCTCTCAACATTAACATTTTCCTAATCCATTTTAAAGATGTGGATGGAACTGGCTTCTACAACCTCTTTCCTCCGTGTATTCCACTTGCCAATCATCCATGCAGGGAACAAGAACTTACTTTCATGTCTGACTGAATGTCCCCCTCATCCTACCCCTTTTTAATTTAAATAAGTGTCCTTTTCCACTTTACCTAGTCCCCTCAAGATCTTGTATGTAGCTGTCATAACCCCCTCTGTTTCTTACCTCCTCTAAGCTTGTGAGGTTCTCTCAGAGATTCTCTCAACCTGCCCTCATAGCTGAACCATCCAGTTGAAACATCTGAACTATCTCAACTTTCTCTTTATGCTTTACAAGGTGTGGGTTCCATGCTGGAGTTCCAAGCGACAGTCAGTTTGAAGCAAAACCGATGGGCAGCCCTAAAACTCACATGTAGCAGTGCAGGCTCGGTGGATCTAATAATAACGAACCACACCAAAGACCTGCAGGGGAGTTATGAAGGCCTGAAGGTAAGAACCAAGCAGGACACCCAAGCACTGGGGAAGCTCATTGAAAGAACTGACACTGAATGCAGCCTCAGAATAAACACGGTTACAAATGGCCTCAGCAGCAGTATATATATAAACAAGTGCACAAACCTCAGAGCACTCCCACAGCAATAAACCACGAATGCCACATGACATCGCAGAGGAGTCAAAGACTCTTGCACTACCTAGGGCTAGGCACCGTACACAGTAGCCTGGCCTCTTATGAGTGGACTCCCAAACTCACCAGAGAAGTCACCGTCAGAGCAGTGGCAACTCTAAACGAGTGCTTAAAGAAGGGCCGACTTAAACATATGCAGCTGAAAGAGACCAATAGACAAAGTCCCTGAAACAAGTGAGGCTTGAAGCACATGCTCATGAGGTAAATACCAAAAGTTAGAACATGACAGTGTTGAAAGAACCTACACTTATCTTGAAAAGAGGTGGGGCTCACTAGAGCTGGTGACTTTAGGAAGTCTGTAATCGCAGACATCAGCAACAGGACTGAAGCAAGATGACAAGGAAGCAGGGAGCTGCTTGGGCACTACCACCTGCTGGTGAACAGTTGAAACTAGGGGGGGTTGAAGATCATTTTCAAGTGAATCATTTGCAGAGTTATTTGGCTGTTGCAGTGCTTCATTTTCTACAAACATGACAGTTGTCTGTATTACTTCGCTTACTTTCTGGATGTTTTCTCTGTGAGGGTGATTGTAAAACTCCCCTGCTTCTCTGATGGGGCAGGTTCTGGTTCTGGTTCAGGGCAGGCCAAACAGGACTCCCATGGCTGATGTGACTTAGTAAGGTAGGAGCCATCTCAGCAAGATAGCTTAAGGAAGCCATAGAGGGATGCTCCAGAAAGCCCAAGAATGGGCTACAGTTTGAAATGCAATTATAAAATTAATTAGTAAGAATAAAAGGACATTCTAAAAGCCACTAGCTTCCTATTCCTACCAACACCTCTTGGGTCATCAAGTAAATTAATTAACTGTAATCTTCAAATTTTTATTAGAAAATCCTAACCCAAAGAAATAGTTTGGGTGAATTCATACACACACACACCTACACAGATTTAAGAGTCAACTATTAAAAATATGAACTGCACATCTCATACCACAACAGATTCTGTCTGAAAAATCAGCACTCGATGTAATGAAACGCCTCTTTCTGGTTTGTCCGTGATGGCTCTTTATTGCTTGCTGCCTGGCAAGCTTCACCCAATTCAATCCATGCCAAGCACTAACGAGTCATAAATAAGCCTACCAGGAACGAGAGGGCAAAATCTAGTCCCATCTTAAGAGGCACGCAATGATTAGGGGACTGGCAAATCACCCTAATCAAGAAAAGCATGCTAAACAAACCACAGAAAGCAGGACAACGAAGCCCTAAAACCTGCAGACCACACTGTAGTAAAGCAATTCTCACTTTTGTTATATTCCCCACACATCAGGGAGCTGTACATCTTCCTCCTCAATTACCAACCCATAAATTCCCAGTCATGTAACCAGAAAATTGGCAAACCATTACTAGAAAGAAGCTTTTCATTACATTCAATACCTGTTTTCTGGGAAGGCCCCATGGTGGCTCCTTGGTGCTATGTTACCACAGAGAAACAAACCAAAGGTGTTATCTCAGGAGTTGAGGGAAGCTGTAAAATAAAACCCCAAGAAGGGGTAATTAGCAATCAGTGAACTGTCCCAAAGCCACACAAGCTCAGAGTAGACCAGAATATTTACTAAAGAACATGCCACCAGCACTCTGTTGAACTGCTGAAACCCGAGCTCAAATATTTCCTCAAGACACATTTGAAAACACTGAGGAAAGAGCCACAAACTTATTTCATGGGTCACAGGGGGGGGGGGGCCACAGGCTGGCTAAGCTTGCTATTAGCCAGCTAAGCTGGCTAATAGCTAAGCTTGCTATTAGCCAGCTAAGCTGGCTAATAGCTAAGCTGGCAATAGCTAAGCTGGCTATTGCTGGCTAAGCAATATATTGCAAACAACCCGAGACAAATGGGCCCCTGGAACAAGAAACCAGGTAAACAAGATCCATAAACAAAGCTTCCCCTACACGCTACTAGTAGTGCGGAGGTAATGGCAAACTGCTGCAACTGAACATAATGAATGATGTACCCGTGACCAAGCCAATCAAGCATCAATCATAAAAGGACCTCTCTGGAAACCAGCCATCCCATTAATAACCAGAAAGGAAGAAGAAAGCTGTAAATGATGAAAATGAAGCCTGGGACCAAATGAGCAACATGCCTACTTCCAGAGAAGTGTGTGAAACTCACCAATCCTAAGACCAAGTAAAGGGCCAACAAAAATATGGTCTTGTAGAAAAATTCCAATAGTGCTCATAGATAAGTGATGAAATAGAAAAAGTGATGGCAAAAGAGAAAAATATGGGAGGAGAGCCAAGAAAGCTTATACAGTCACTGCATTGGAAAGACATGTTGTCGACATTCCACTTTGTGGTTATGGAGCAGAAACAAGAGAGATGTCCGCCAGAACATTGGACACACCTCGAATGTGAATGGCAGAGAGAGCCAAACTCCAAGAACCCAGAAGACAAGCTACCCATAAAAACCAGCCTCATGAAAAGAGACCAAAGCAACCCTCTATGATTAAGACTGGGGAGCAAACTGAGTGGAGCTGGCTGGGCATGGAGCCTGCCAGTAGATAAAGCAACCACAGAGCAAGCCAGATTGCCATAAACTCAAACACTATGCTGTGCACCAGACTTAATGGAGCCACCTAATGATCCTGAGAAGTCAAGCGAGTGCTGGTCACAAACCTCCCGGCCTGAGACCAAAATGGTCGAGTGCAGGGGAGGGAGGACAGAACCCCTTACATCCTGAAGAGGAAACTGGCAAACCAGAAGTCGTCAAAGGGTCCTTGGAGCCTGGACAAATTGATCTGTCCAGGCTCGAAAGACAGGGAGTCTTTCATTCCTGGTCTTTCATGCACTCAAAGGTCCTGATGGCAGCAAAGGGACAAAACCAAAGAAAACTAAAATGCCTGGAGCAAAACCCTACCCAGAGGATAAACAATGCAGGCAAAGTTCAGACTCTCACACAGCCACTCAAGCATATGAAGGGTGAATCCAAAACCAGCCAGACACACAAGCAGTACAGAGAGGGAAAACTGACAGAATCCCAAACCAGACTCAACTAGGTCCGATCCTACAATGGAACCAACTGGAACTTTCACCAATTCATCAGAAACCTGAACCTGGTGAGCTGGGGAAAGAACCAGATCCCTGGCTTGGAGACACATGGACCAACTTGGAGTCCAAGCCAGCCAGTCATCGAGGTAGGCTAAGACGTGAACCCATAACACGAAGCAACAAACCATCGCACATGCCAACCTGGTGAAAATCCGGGAGCCAGATTCAAGATGAATGGGAGAACACCAAAGCTGTAAACCTGATACCTGGTACCTGGTTGATACCCGATACCTGATATGATATGCCCAACCGCAAAACCTTACCGGTCCTTGAACTGGGAGACTGATTCCAGTCTGGAATCGGATCCCTATTGGAATAGAAACATCCCAATAGAAACCCAAAGATCCAGGGGACAACATCCAGGAATCCATCTGCAAAACCAGGCAGCCCTGAGCTAAGGTGGTCTTTTGGAAAAATGGACAGGGAATGAAGTGATTTAAAAAGTTGAAAATGAACAATAAGTGTGGCAAGCCCTGCTTGGGTACCAGAAACAACTGGAACCCCCACCACAGAGCCAAGAGGGTTAACTACTACTCCAGTGTCCAACCATTCCCCAATGACTAAGAGGATCTTAAAGCTCCAAGATACTTACTGTAAGGCCCATGTATTGTGAGACCAAGAGTTTGCAAAGTGGGCCATACATCTCCCCACAGCCCTGACAAAGCGGGGGTCTGAAAGGGCTGGCACAAACAACCTGGAAGGCATGAGAGTGATGCCAACAAGAAAAAATGATGGTTGAAGCAACCACAACAGCTGGGACTCTGACACCTCCAGAAGCCTACGCTGACCAAGAACAGGCGAGGACCTGTCCCAAAACTTTCTCCACTCGTGCAGTGGAAGTAGAATTCGTCTGTAAAAACAGATGACAAAGAAGCTGAAATGCCACCACTGCAGCCAAAAGAACAGAAGACATGGCATCCTCGGCAAATAGAAAGAAGCAAAAAAGGGGAAGGAAGGCAAGAGGAACAAGGAACAGCATGGCTCACCAGTAATACACACAAGCAGAATAGAAGCCTGTCATCACCCCCTGAAAAAGAGCAAGCAATGTGGACGGGGCATCCAAGGCCCCAAACCCAGGAACCAAGGATGCAACTGCAGATAGAGGTGTGTATGTGCCCTGTAATCTCCACAACCACAGGCACAGAAAGCAAAAACAACTAAACATGCAGGTGCCACACACCCTCATCTCTGGGCAAGGACAGCACAAACAAAATTGAAGCAGCATAAAGTCAGCACCATCTAAAAAAGCCTTAAAGACTGAACTTCTCATGCCATCCAAGCACTTGGGTATGATAAAAGCCATGCCAGTCCCCCAAGGAAAAGAGGAGAAGGTTGCCTGCAAACCAGGATAAATTGGAAACCTCATAAAGCAGCCAATAAGCAGCAGCTGACTCATATTCAAAAGACGCCAGATCCATTAAAGAAGAGAGGGCCTGATCCAGAAGGAGGAAAAGGAAAAGAACCAACTGCATCACTGAGGGCAAAAGACAGGAACTTGGAAAAATCCACACTTATGATGTTTCCAAGGACTACACACAAATCCGAAAGTGTAGAATGGGAGGAGTCAAAACACCCTCTACATTAATGAAAATATCCTCCTCAGAGGAAACCAACAACTAGTTGGGGAGAAAAAGATACCCAATTATTGAACTAGGGCCCCAGATACCAGGAAATAGGAGGAACTGGGACAGCTCAGATCCACACCAGACATAGAAAAAAAAGCCATTTCCCCACAGGGAAAGATCCATGGCGGGAAAACCCTCCCGCCATGGGAGAAACTGAAGGTAGTAGATGCTTGGTGGTGAAGCAGCAGCTCAACCACCTCCACTGTCAAAGTGGGAGGGGTGGTCCCCCGAGAAGGCCCACAAGTGAAGAACCATCACTTCTAGACTCTTAAAATCCTCAAACGTTTTAGAACTCAGAGCAAAGGAGAAGGCCCAAGGGCCTACCAAACATCAACATGACCTGGAAAAGAAGGAGCAAACTTGGATGAAGGAAAAAACATCAACTGCATTTCAAGATCAGGTCCTGAAAAGACAAAGGGACAACCACATCAATGCCAAACCAAAACCTACAAATATGGACAAATCTGGTCTTAAAGGAGAAGCCACTTGATAAAGAGTCTTGACCAAAATGGAGACCCAGTGACCAAAAAGGTCACAGGCCTCCAGGTGAAAAGTATCCCACAACTCAACAGGCGGCATGACAGAGGCAGTAGGAATGGTCATCAGAATTAATAATAATCTAAGCACATTCCTCAAACCCCCCCAGAGAGAGGGCAGAATCGAAGGGATGTTCATAATAAACCCTATGAAATCTGCAAATGGCTTTCCTGGGTATCAAAAGATGGACCAAGCAGGTACACCAGGTACAGGAGCCACTCACCAAATATTACAAATGCCAAAAGCAGCCTATGGGAAAATGTTGTCATTAAAGGCATAAATGGTGAGCTGTAGAACAAGCATGCAAACTACTAGTACCTGTGTGACACTTAAATGACTATCACACTGCCCCCATCCTAAGGGCCTCATAGGGAAGACAAAGACTTGTCTACTGCCAAGGGTAAGGCACCTTCCACATAAAGCCTTCCTCTCAGAGGCAGATCCCAACATCCACCAGAGAATTCAACTCTGGCTAGGCAAGGGCAAAAACAACAAACACTTAGAAACGATAACACTAGGCACATGCAGTTTAGGTCAAAACATTAATCAGTGTCCATGCAAGAAAGGAGCCATAAATATACATGCATTATTAAGGAAATACTAAAATACAAAATAAATACACAAGTAAATGGCCCCTGCAGGACAAAAAAGTCCAGAATGGCCTGCACTTATCTGAAAATTCGGGACTGGGACAGAAAAAGGCATGTAACACAAGCTCGTAAGATTCACGCCAGGCATATATCCGAGGCTTTACAATTGGTAACTGAGGAGGAAGGTGCACAGTCCCCAGGTGGTGCACGTGTAGCTAAAGTGAGAATTGATTCACCACCAAATGGTCCGTGAGTTTTGGGACTTTGCTATCCTGTTTTCTTTGGTTTGTTTACCTTGCTGTTGTCCATTTCTTGATTAATGTGATTTAGAGTCCCCAGCTCCTTGCACCTCTCGAGAGGAGGTCAGGTTTTGGCCTCAGGTCCCCAATAGGCTTATTTATAACTTGTAAGGCCTGGCATGGATTGAACTGGGTAGAACTTGGCAGGCAGCAAGTACCAAGGAGCCACCATTGAGCCCTCCCAGAAAGAAGGATATTCTTCAATACTGTACTGTACATGCATCAAACAAAATCTTAGTTTATCTTATAACTGCACAGATCTTGGTATATGTTTCGTGATGCCCTTAACAAATATTTATCACATTACCTTGAGCAATTCTTCTTGCAATTTGTTTTTTTCCCTGAGGGCAGAGTCCCACTCTGTAATAGCTTTGGTACACTGCTGCTTAAAGCAATTCTTCTCACGCACTGCTTCATTACATTCCCGTAAGACATCTTCATATTGTTTCTTCAAACGAGATACTTCCTCCTATTATCAGAACCAAAATTAAGTTAAAATTTAAAGCATTCATAAAGTACAAAGAAAAAATCAGATGATCATCAAGCAATACAGGGGAGGAAATCTTATAAAAACAATTGCTAAACACAATATGTTTTGTAGATTTATTAATGGTAACTGGTTAGTATCTCCCACATCATCATCATCTCAATTTTTTACCTCATCATTGTTCTTTTAGTCTCCAAACTTAATAATGGATTAATGCACTAAATGTTTTAAATTACTTATTCCAAGTATGAAGTTTGGTGCAGCACTTGTCACCAAATCATATAGTGTCACCTCCATTTTCCTTTCTTTTTTTTGTGAACCTTTGTACTGCTACAATTTGCCTGAAATGCTACGAGTATTTAGTGTCTTTATAAACAATACAAATAATGTACCTACTAAGTAACTTCAGTAATACATCCTCTCTATATCTTATAAATTATTATTATTATTATTATTATTATTATTATTATTATTATTAAAATTCAACAGTTTTAAAACCTCTCTTACAATAGTTGTAAACTTTCATTTTAAATTGCTTTCATAACTCGGTAAGAAAACCTACTGTAACATTTACTCAAAGCTTCAGGTTTAACTAAACCCTTAGGTTGCTGTCAAGGCAATCTAAATCTTGTGGAAGATGGATCCCTATTATATGAATCCACAGTGAGTGAGCCAGACTGCCCCTCAACTCTGCATGATGTACAACAGATAACATTATATAAATGTCAGACGTATAGTACTTTTATATTCGTGCTTCTTTTTGTTCTGTGCTCGTATGATCTGATGCATATATTAGTCCAAGGAATTTGCGTTGTTCTAATTTTAAGTTATCAAACTTAAGTTTTAAGTTAAATTTATGCCTCACAATCCAATATTTTATAAACATAATAATTTTGTAAAACTTAAGATCCTGATATTAAAGGATAACTGCCAAATTTCTAGCTTCAGTTTCCATTGAAAATAATCTCATACAAGACAAAAGCACCATAAACCACTTCAAAATATATCATTCTTAAGAAAGAATTTAAAAATCTGATCAATATTGCACCTGAATGTTTTTGTTATTCTAATGTTCTAGCAAATATTGAGAATTATTTCCAAGCTATATTAATTTTCAAAATCTTTCATGAAGCTATTTTAAGTATCTAGCTTTGCCGCAGTACTGTAACTTAACAATAATTATCATTCATTGTGTTTGGCTTTAATATTTCTGAAAAATAAAATACATTATCATCTAATTAGGCAGAATTACAAGTTAAAAGGCTATGAGATTTTGCTTAACGCCTCTTTTCAGAGCCTTAGCATTTGGCTGTTCCTGAGTGTAAGACCCCTTAGTAACATAAAACAGCAAGTTACTCTGAGGGGGGAGACCTCAGAATGCCGAGAAGTCACCAGTGGGGTACCTTAGGGTTCTGTACTCAGATCTATCCGGTTTCTGATATATGTAAACAATCTTCCAAAGGGTTCATTCCTCTTAATATTTGCTGATGATGCTAAAATTATGAGACAGATTAAGACAGAGGAAGACAAAGAGATTACAAGATGACCTGGACAAACTCAAGGTACGGTCTAACAAATAACTACTAGAGTTTAATTCACCTGGGCTGTATGGGTCTCGAACCGTGGACCCCACATCTGTGCCGATGCTCTATCAACTGGGCTATGAGCAGTCTTAAAAAGGAAAGTTTCCAGAAGCAACATCCTGCTGCCAAACTGGAATTTTTTAATTTCCCTGTGTACTACTGAAGCCCAGGGGAATTACTGCCCCACGCCCACGTCATATAAGGTGGGAGTGGAATTACAGGGTCAGTAATGTCTCTTGAGCTTCAGTAGTAGCCAGGGAAAGTCTTAATTCCAGTTTGGCAGCAGGATGCTGCTTCTAGAAACTTTCCTTTTTTAAGACTACTCATAGCCCAGTAAATAGAGCTACAGCCTCACACGTGTGGGGACCATGGTTCAAGACCCATAGATTCCAGGTGACTGGAATGTTTATTTTCCACAATAGTGTGAATGACAATTTATACTAGAGTTTAACTCCAGCAACTGTAAAATAATGAAAATAAGTGTAGAGAGCAGGAGGCCAGACACAAGGTACAAATTGAGAGATGAAATCCTTCAAGAATCAGGCAAGGTGGAAAGATCTGGGGGGTTGATATCACACCGAACCGGTCCTCTGAGGGATATCAAAATCAAAACCAATCATCAAAAAGAATATCATCAGTGGCATCTGCTAGAATAGCTAACATAAGAAGTCTTTAGAAACTTGTGTAAGGAATCAGCTAGATCATTGTATACGACATATATTAGACTAATCTTGGAGTATGTGGCTTCATCATGGAGTCCATATTTAGTCAAACACAATATGAAGTTAGAGAAAGGTCTGAGGTATGCCACCAGACTAGTCCCCAAGTCGTATAAGCTACAATGAATGGCTACTGGAATTAAACCTCACATCAATGAAAGAAAAGTTAGGAGGGACTTGATTATCACCTACAAAATTCTCAGAGGAATTGACAAGGTAGATAATGACAAACTATTTAGAATGGGTGGTACACAAACAAGGAGACACTGGTAGAAACCTAGTACCCAAATAATCCACAGACACCAGGAAGATTTTTTTCAGTGTCAGTGACATTCTGATTTTTGTTCAGTGACATTCCATTCTGCTGCTCAGCAGCAGCAGTTCGGTAGCAGCAGCTCAGCAGCAGGAGCTCAGCAGCAGGAGCTCAGCAGCAGCAGCTCAGCAGCAGCAGTTTGGCAGCAGGAGCTCAGCAGCAGGTCAATGGCAGGAGCTCAGCAGCAGGAGCTCAGCAACAGGAGCTCAGCAGCAGCAGTTCAGCAGCAGGAGCTCAGCAGCAAGAGCTCAGCAGCAGCAGCAGGAGCTCAGCAGCAAGAGCTCAGCAGCAGCAGCTCAGTGGCAGGAGCTCAGCAGCAAGAGCTCAGCAGCAGCAGCTCAGTGGCAGGAGCTCAATAGCAGGAGCTCAGCAGCAGCAGCTCAGCAGCAGCTCAGCGGCAGTAGCTCAGCAGCAGCAGGAGCTCAGCGGCAGCAGGAGCTCAGCGGCAGCAGGAGCTCAGCAGCAGCAGGAGCTCAGCAGCAGCAGGAGCTAAGCAGCAGCAGGAGCTAAGCAGCAGCAAAAGCTCAGCGGCAGTAGCTCAGCAGTAGCTCAACAGCAACAATGGCTCAGTAGCAGCAGCATGTCCTGACAGTGAAAACCAAGTAGGGACACCAGGTGCAAGTGGCTGCTTGCCGGCAGGTAAGACATGTAGCTACAGGGACAACAGTAGCTACAAGGGAAGTAAATGGCGTGCTGTAAAACCCCTGTACACCCCCCACCCCCCCCAACTTAGAAAACTCCAAAAACCAACTGTTGCAATACCCAGGGGGAAGGCATCCTCCACAGAAGACTGGCCTCTCCGGGACACCCCCCCCAAACCCACCAGGAAAGGCAACACTGACTGGGCAGAGGCAAGACCAGCAAACACTTAGAGCCTATGTACCCTAAGCCTATGCAACTCAAAATGTGAGCAATTCCTCAAAATCTACAATACAAGTGAGGCATATAAACACATGCATATGAAGGTAATACCAGAATTGTAACAAACATGAGCAAACAACCACTGGGAGACAGAGTTAAAAGGATGGCCAACACTTATCCGGATAAACCAGTACCTGAAGGACAACATGACAAAGAGCACGTGTGTATTGGTCCACATCAGGCAAAGAATTGAAGTGTTACACTGGGCAGCCGAGAGTTCCTGATGCTGCCACCTGGTGATGGGGAGGTTACTGGTAGTGTACAAACTACCGTGTGTCTCATCTTCAGAGTTGTTTACATTTCTCTTGCTGTTGTCTGTTTTGCTTCATTCTACCTGTCTGGAGGTTTATTTCATGGCTGGAGTGATCTAGCATCCTCTGCTCTCTGCATCTCTGTGAGGGGCCATGTTTTGGCCTCTGGTCTTGGATGGGTAGAGCTATCTAGGCAGCTACCAACCAGGAGCCATCCCAGAAAAGGTACTTGGTTGCTCCTTTAGCCCTTGCATTGTGCACCTGTTTTATGTAACAACTTCATGGTGCAGGGGGTTAATAAAATTACTGACTAACTGAAAGTTAAAAAAAAAAAAAAAGCATTGAATGTAATGAAACGCCATTTTCTGGGTAAATCCCGGAGGCTCCCCGGAGCTATCCAGGCTGATATGGATATCCATAACTTTGGCAACAATCAATGTGGGTGGAGTTCTAGGCCTACCGGGGACCATGGCCAGAACCTGGCCTCCTCAGAGAGGTACGAGGACCAATGGCCTATAGACTGGGACAGGCACCCAGAAAGCTAAGCGCCTCAAAATGAACCCCCCATTCTGGTGAAACTAACGAAAATAACCAAACAAGTGGACAGAACTCCTTCAAGTGAAAACGAGTAAATGAGCATGACGTCACATGAGCCACATCGCATATCTGCACAGCTCCTCCCTCCCCGGGAAAGGAAAGGGGAAGCCCCATACCAATACGTCGGCGATCAACACCACAGTTCTGAGACTGGATATCAAAACACGCAAAAAAACGCCGACCGGAGGGAGGGAACCTCCAGGACTCACCCAGAAAATGGCGTTTCATTACATTCAACGCTGGTTTTTCTGGGGGGAGCTCCAACGGCTCCCCGGAGCTACTTCACCAAAGACTAAAATAAAGAAGGGGACTTACTCGGGAGGCGGTCGGTGTTCCACACCTCAACTCGAAGTCAAGAAGGGCTGCCAAAGGTGGGCCAAATGAACTACAGCAGAACAACAAGGGAACAAGGACAGAACCAAGGCAGAAGTGACTAACACCCCTATGTCCGGGTCCCTATAAACAAAACGGGGCAGCCTAGGAGGATCCGGGGAAAGCAACCAACCTAGCATGCTGGAACAACCTAAACCTATCTTGCAATGCGCAAGCCGCCTACACCCGAATAATGTCATCATCAGATTGGGTGAACCGAGTCATA